GCAGACACAGGGTGCAGAGGTACAGGAAATACACAGGAGGTGGTTCAGAGGTTGGGGAGATGGCCTAGTAAGCCCACGTCCCCTCCCATAAATCGGTGTTTGGCCACAGTGAGGGCAGAAATAAAGCAAAGGACTAGCAAAACCAAGGCTGCCCTGTAACCAGTCTCAATAAACAACATCCAGAAACTGTCATTGAGAGTGGCTTTATCTCCAGAGGTTGCAAACAGTCAGTGGGATGGAGGGGGAAGGGTGTAAATAGTGCCTGTTTAGTTTCATGCTTGCTTTATTCTCTTTATTCTTTGTTTTCTGATGATAAAGGAGCTCTATGTAGATATTGTAGCAAAGGAATTGGTGAGTCATAAGGTTTGCAACTTCAGTTCCCCCTCTGCCCTTTCTGTTTTTTTCCTTATAGTTGCATCTCCTTCTTCCTTTCTGCCTTGCCCCTCCTCTGCTGGCTCAGCAGGACGTGCTGTGCCTTTAAGAAGCCTAGTTTTTCAGAAGACTAATTCCTGAGCTTTGGCATGTGTCAAGGCATGCCCTAAGTTTTGTGGTGTGGTTTATGAAAAACTGAAGTGCATTTGTTGAAGGAGGTTTTTAACTCCTTTCTGCCATAGATACACTTTACTTCTTTGTTCTTTGCTTGCAGAATGCTCACCATTCAGCATTTCCATAGGGACTTCTGCTCTCTTTTCCGAAAGGGGAGGGGAGATAAAGTGAAGTAGCAGGCCTTTTTTTATTATTCCTTTAATTAAAATTTATATTTATTGAGTTATTTTTTTACACAACAAAGCTCTGGTGAGTAAAGCTGAGATGGCAAATTCCCTAGCTGATTATACCCTCCCACTGGCACCAATAATGCTGCAGTGTTAACCTATCATTGCAGTAGCAGCATGGAGGAGCCAAAGACAAATTGACCTGTAGCAGTCACAGCAATGGCAGTTTTATTACAAATTTTACATATTGTGAATTTCTTAATGGTCTCATTCTTGAACAATACATTTTGCTTCCTTTCCCCACTTATCACAGTCAGAAAGAAACTTGTAAGAAGACAATATGATTTTACTGACAAAATTAACATAGCATTATGTAGATAAAATACAGGGTGTTGGTTTGTTGTTGTTTTGGGTTTGGTTGTTTTGGGTTGGTTTATTTTTTCTCCCAGATCTCATTCTTTTGAAACCAAGTGTATGCCTGGGGAGGTCTGCCTGGATTTTTTTGACATTTGCTAGGAGCAGCAACATGATTTTTAAACCACAGCTCCCAGTGAGAACGTGGCAGGCATTACCAGCATACCAGGAGGTAACTATGGAATTACCTTTGGTGATTATTTTAAAAGCCATGTTTGCTACAAGGTCCTGGATCTATATGCTAATATTTTCATGCAATAACAGCATAAATCCTCTTGGGCTGTCAGCCTATATTCGTGTACCTGTACTTTGGTTTAGGCCTCAAGATAGCAAGTAAGTCTAGGTGAACAGAATTCCCCTCCGTCTCCTGCACCGTGGCAGCTCCAGGACTTACCATGCAGTCACCCGCAGGATGTGGGCCCCACAGATGAAAGAATGGTGTCTAGTAGAGACAGGCCTGCTTTTATGAGGAGAGATGTTGAAAGGAAAGGGAGGGAGCAGGAGCTAGGGCTGGATGTGCCTTCCACACTGAGGTGGTTGTGTGGCTTTGATTAAATCACTTAACCTTTGAGCTGCAGGTTTCGAGTGAGTGAAATAGTGGTATTAGCACTGTGTATGGCATGCTGGGATTAAATGAATTAACGTAATAGTACTTTACAGTCTCAGATCTGTAAATGTGCTGAGTGCAGCTGTTCTATTTAAGAACCTTGAAGTGCTCGTTATTGAGCCTACAGGAGGGCCCCCACCAATCCCCTGTCCTCCCCTCCCTCCCAATTAGTTCGGTCAGTGCTCTTATTCCCTCTCCATGACCAATAGTGAGCAATCTCTGCACTTAGCCTCTCGATCCTGAAGCAGTGCTGTATTGCGACAACTCTCTTCACAAGTGGCTGCTGAAAGCGGCTGCACCGCAAGCCCTGGTGAGGAGCTCTGTCTTCTGCATCGCCCTGCAGCTGCCCGGGCCCAAGGTGTCCCTGGCTACCCAATCACTGCCACATCCCCTCAGTAACGTGCTGGAACAGGAGGCAGAGGTCCTGGAATCTCTTGTCATCTCTGCTGCCTGCTCATGGGATGGCCTGATCAAGTCACATTGCCTTTCTCTTCTTCACTGTTAATGCTGAAGTGTGGATCATATCTTTTACCTTCATATCCAAGAGCTATTCAAGCTGAATTAATGAATGCTGTGAAGTCAGCGATGCCCGTGGATGCACAGCACAATGTAAATGTGAAGTATTACTCTGTAATTATGGGTAGAGGTAAACCTTGTTGAAAATTATTTATTTTATCATAAATCAACATTTGATTAGGTGGAATCATAGGAAGAAGGAAGAAGTGTAGAGAAAGCCTGTTCTCTCTTACCTCAATCTAAAATTTTTCAGGAAGCTAGGAAGCTGGAATGCTGCCTCTCCCACGTGTTTCGTTCATGTGTCGACTCTGAATCTAGTACTGGTTGCTGAGATTGATGGAGTGGCATAAAAATAGTCTGATTTCTAAAGGTGTAATATTTTAATGTACAGATGGAAAGAGGTCCTTTTTTTTTTTTCATCTTTTGGGATTTGGCATTTTATGAGGAAGTGAAGTACTGCTTTTTGCAGCTGTTGTCTGGCATATCCAAGGTTGATACAGCAGCTCATTGAGTTCAGTCAAGTAGCTAGTGGAGGATTTTAGGAAAAAAAGCAGATGAAATATTATTACATAGCTGCTGACATAGAGATATCATGAGGGTATGGTTTGTACCATCTCTGGTGCTGCTGAGAGATCAAGGAGTTAAAAATTCCAAGGTTTTAATCCAGTATAATAATATTTTGTGAGGTCTCAATAATATTTTGTGAGTTTGCAGTAACTAAGAAGCAGAGAAGCAACTGAGCTAGCTGGAAAATGAAGCTAGATGGAATTATATTGCCACAGGTTTATCTAGCTAGTTGTTTCACTTAACAGGCTAGACACACGTTTATCTGAGCACGCAGCAGAAGCTCAGACCCGGTTGTGCTCCCTTGTTCTCCTTGGCTGTATTATCCTCAGAAATGGAGTGCCCTTCATCCGATTTGAACAAAGCAGTGTTCTGCTGTATCTATTTTTGGGTACTGATTTGTATGCTGTAGAAGCTGTCTCATTCCTTAGAATACAGCCATATATTGTTATGTTTGTTTTCCTTTTGCTGCTGTATACATAGTGGATTGTTGTTTGTTTGTTTGAGGGATTTAAACATCTGGAAGAGACCAGGGATAGTGATGTCTTTGTGCATAGGTTAGATGTGGATCTGCAGGTCCCTTCCAAAGTGAAGTGGTATCTATGTGCCATCTACTGTGATGCTTATTTGTGTATTTGAGGGTTTTGATGTGGGAAGGACAATCAATATGATGCTAATCTAAGGGGCTGGGTAAAACTACTGCCGCTGAAGGTTAAAATGCATCTAGTTCTAGGTGGTTCTGCAGCTGGTTCCAGTGAAGGTAATACCAATTATAAATTTTGGACGTAAATATTTATATGCAGTAAATTTAGGTGGGTTTAGGTGAGTAGTGAGAGGAATCAGTTTTCACTAAGATGTATCAGTAAATGATGCACATAGGGCACATAGGGCAGATCTTGCTGTGAGAAATTCAGTTCTCCTGTCATGTAAGCTTTGCCATATTATTTGGACACAAACAAATCCAATTATAGCCTGAGTCTAGACAATAGGTGATCAGATGAAAACAGTAAGTAGAAAGTGGGAAAAAAAAAAAAAAGAAGGTGTAAGTTCTGTATTGTAGCCCCCTTTCCAGTGAGTGCAAGGTTACTCTGCAGGGAGCCCTTGTGGCTTTTAATTTGCAGACCAATGAAGTAGCAACAGAAGAGTTCTTATGCTCTGGCTCAGTCTATTGGAAACAATTTTGTTTCCGAGAAAGCTAATCGCTGTTTTGTTGCATTACATCCCAGCAGATGAGCCAGGCAATCCTGAATTTAAAACAGAACCACAAGTGAGTGACAGCGAGCTAAGCACAGGCTAGAGTCTTGTAGCAGCATATCCTTCAGCTCCAGTGCTGCAGTCAGAGAGAGAGATTTTTCCTTTGAAGATAAGACACCTGGGGCTTTTGTAGAAACCAAGTATGCCCCGAGTTTTGCAGCTGGTATCTTGATTTAAAAATAAAAAGGCAGAGAAAGACAAAGCGTCTGGCTCTTCCATGCATCACCAAAAATTCCTCAAAATACTAAAACCCAAACCAGTGCTTTTCATTCTGCACTTGTGTCGTTTGCGAATGCTTCCCATCTCATGGCTTATGTGACACTTCCAGCGGAAACAGGCTCTCAGGCAAGCCGTGAGGCTGTGCTGAGTGCGTACAGGAGAGCAGGAGTGCGGGAGTGTGCCTATGTATATGTATGAGCGAGGGAGCGAGAGCGCGTGTGTGCAGTGTCGTAACGTGGCAGGGCACAAGCAGTTATGAAACTTTCCAATACTCTCAGTGCGTCAGTATTGGTTGCTTGGGTGTTGTGTTTTTTTTTTTTTTCCTGTCCGTTGCCCTCCAGTTTCATTTCCGAGTGCAGAGAGAGGGAGGGAAAGGGCGAGAAATGCTCGCGGAGCCCCTCACGCTGCTGGAGGAGCCGAGCAGTTCCCACGACAGGTGGAGCACGCCGCCGCGGCTCTGAGCGAGATTCCCAGGTCATGGTGCCCAGGGACAGGGGGAGGGCAAGCCCTCGCACTTGGGGCAGCTGCAGTTGCAAGGGGCCCCTTCCAAGTGCTGCAGCAGCAGCCAGAAGTTTGACTTTTATTTTTTGAAAGGACTGGAGAAATTATTAACCACAGTTGATGACGTCAGAGTTGATCTGATTAAAGGTTTGTTTTCTTGCTGGCAGAGGTGTGCTCCGTAGAGACTGGTTCTCTCTTCTTTTTTTTTTAAGTTTCTTTTTTGAACAGCAAACGGAGGGAACTGCTCGCACTGCTGCCACTGCTGCTGCTCCAGCTGCGTGTGTGTGTGTGTAAACAGGATGGTGTATCTGTAGCTGCCACGCGCAAACACACATTTGACCATGAGGACTCTTCGCAGGTTGAAGTTCATGAGTTCGCCCAGCCTCAGTGATCTGGGCAAGAGAGAGCAGGCAGCCTTGGATGAGCGGGGGACCCAGCAGCGACGGGCCTGCTCCAACGCTACCTGGAACAGGTAAGGTCTCACACCATGTGCCAACTCCCCTGAAGCCTCTCTGTGATTATTTAGGCTGCCTTGCCCCCAGCTCAGAAAGGTTACAGTATGTCAGGCTTCTGCATTTGTGTGTTCCACATATCAGAGTTTGTGTTCAAGTAAAAGATGGGAGCGGCTTTTCTCCCCATTGCTCTTAACCTTCCTCTTCAAGGCTGATAGCAGAGAGCCCTTCCTGCAGATGGCTCAGCCTCCTCTTCCTTGTGATGGATAAGGACTTATTTCAAAAGGCCCTGCTACAAATAGTCTTTGTGTCTATCTAAATACTCTCATTCGAGGTTGATTTGGTTTATTTTAGTTATAAAAGGTTTAAATATACACAGCTATTAAATTACATTATCTGCATAACTATATATATTGCTGGTTGTTGATACAGATATGACAAAGTCTACTCAGTCTTCTTATGTTAATGCAAATATGTGTGTGTGTATGTGCAGACACAAGCACACACACTTTGGACAGAGAGAAATAAGCCCTGATTGTTTCCTTTATTGTGTTTATACATTTGAATTTTATTACTGTTTGACAAAAAAAAAACACATGCAAACATTTTGTTGTTTTGTCACTTACCACAGATACTCAGAAAGCATCTTAATGACTATTTGGTGACACTCTTAAAGATGAGTCTGAGTCGTTAGGAATTATATTCTTATGTCCTTTTTGAAAATTGAATGTCATCCCCCCTTGGTCACAGGTCGGAAAGTGTCATTTGTAATGTTTTATAGTTGTATGGTAGTAGAGCTGTAGGAAGAAAACCAACAGTGACCTATAGACGCATTTGTTAAAGATATTTCAGCTTCGAGGGGAAAAAATAGAATTATAAACTAATCACCTCTCTGTCCCTCTCACCACTCAATGTATGGTTTTATGTTTTCATTATGAATTAGTTGTTGAATGCAGGCAGCACACCAAGCACTGAAACTGTGTAATAGTCACAAAAGAGACTTGGTTTCTGCTCAAATATCTGCAGTTTATATGACCTGGAGTTGCACCTGAGATCTGGATGGTGGTGCTAATTAAAGGCTGGACTGGGGCCACCTTGGCTCTTGCCAGTTGTTACTTCACTTGATCCGTAGTCTGATGTAAAACAACAGGGTGTATGATATTCCATAGTGTGAACCAAGGTGACAAAATATAGTCCGCAAAACCTTTTTGTGGTGGTGGGCTGACAGCTTTTATTGGCATGGATTAGCATTTCTATGTCTTGCTTGTGGGGAGGGAGCCGTGGAGACAGATGTGAATGGAGAGTAGGTCAGTTACCTGGCTTGATGGGAGAGGGGAGAACTACAGGCAGTCAAACCAGAGGGTTTTCCTAAGTGAGCTGGAGTACGGGTTTTACTTTTTACTTGGACAGGTCAGGTATAGCTCTGGCTAGACATAGTTGACAGTTATTGAGCTAGACATCTGCAGGTTTCATCCAGATGATTAGACAACTCTCCTGTTGCCTGTTTCTGACATAGGTGTCTGCAAGTCATCCTGTCACTGGTCTGTATGAACTCAGGCCTAACTGTGCTTTCCTGCCACGGGTTGCCTTTTGCCTGTGCAGAGATCGCTGAGCCATCCCTGCTGTTTGGTGGCATGGGCCTTCAAGACATCTTGGGAGTGCTGGCAGGGCAGGTTGGTGCTGCCTGCAGTGGCAAGTCAAGTGGGCATTGTGTACTGCAGCACTAACTGTTGCTTAAAGCTATGGCGAGGATGGCAGATTACAAGCAACATGCTTGTAAACATGGGCATGGGCAAAGGCCCTTTATTACTTATTTGAGAGTGCAAGCCTTTGTCCTGAGTGGAAGAGAGAGTGAGGGTAATTCTTTCATGCCTGTATCCTCTATTGGTTTTAAGAAACTCAGATATTCTACAGTATGTAAAATTGGAGTTTATCCTCAGGAAAGCCAGGGCTTAAGTGACGTTGGATTAGTTGTATTAAGAAGTTATCCACTGTAGCTCCTGCCTATCACCAGAGCATGCCCATCTTGGCATGTGTAACAGGATCTTATCTTGAGGGGAGTCAATATTCAGCTCTCCTGGTGAGACCACAATGTCAGTGTTGGAAACTGGATGTCTAAACTTTGATTCACCAGAAATACCTGGTGGGTTTTGGAAATCTCGGGCTGTGGAAGGCTTTTTATTTTCACCCTGCAAAATTAAAGCTTCCCAAGAGAGGACTAGCATACTGTACTTTGGTTAATGGGAACATTTGTTCTTCCAAATTAAGGGATTGCCTGTGCTGTTTCATTCTGTGCAGTATCGAGCGCAAGAGCTTTCTGATCAAGGAAGTCGAGATGCACCAGCAGAGCTTTTCCCTATCACCAAGCCTAGCTGTTCTATATTTGAATGTCTGCTGGTTTCTTGCCCAATGTTAGCAGCTGTGCCTGGATGTGGCGTGTGTGTATCTGCTTTTGAAAGAGGCTTTGAACCAAATTCACCAAAACTGATGTGGGGAGAGTTAAAGCACAACCGCATGGCAGGCCCTGCCCCACATGAGACTGCCAATCCCATGTTCAGATGTGAGGTTGAGTGAGGATGAGCAAGGATGCTGCCTCTGTCCTGCTGGGGACTGTGCTGGAACGCTGCAGAGCCAGAGTTTTGCTCTGGTGGGGTTTTCTCTAAGGTAGCAGCTCTGCCACTGTGGGCTTTGAGGAGGATGGGATATGTGGCTCCCCTTCTGCAGTTGGTTTGTGTGTGGCTGCAGTCTGGCTGCCAGTGTCCTCTCCACCACCTCCGCTCTGCTCAGACCCGTCTCAGCCCTCAGACTGTTTATAGCAGAGGATGCCTGCTGCTTTCTGACAGCAGGGGAGGGCAGACTGCAGGGGCTTAATCTCGGGGTTTGGTGTGAAAGAGGCACGTAGCTCTCAGTTCTAGCAAGGAAGGTCTCTTTCTCCCCGATTCCTTTCCTTCACCTCCAAACTAGATTGCTGTGAAGCTTCTTGACACTGTTAGATCAAAAGGAAATCAATCCGTGGTGAGCTTCTGTCTGCTACTATGCAAATTAGATATCACAGCTTTTTCTGAGGTTGCTTTCCCATGAACCCCAAAAGATCTGTACAGCAACACACCAGCAGAGCACATTAACTAGCAACCAACAGCAACATAGTGGAACAATACAGTTTCATTACAGCTCACAGAATTTGCATTGGATTAAAATAGCTTAGATTTTTTCACTAGCATTGTCTTCAATTCCTTCTCTCTCTCTCTCTCTCCCCCCCCCCTCCCCTTTCTGCTTCAGGCAAAAAAATGAGGGCTGAATGCTGACTAAACCAATTGGACTGAGAAATCCAGGGCTTTTAATCTTGAGCTTGCAAGCCAGGGGGGCCCTTCTCAGGGCAAATAAAATCCTTTGTGAGGTTTTCATTCTGACTGAGCTAGCACAGGATGCCTAATCAGGAGCTGATACCGTCTGAGTTGTGCTGTGCAAAGCCTCTAGTCAAAGGCACTTCCATCCTCTCCGGTATAAGAAAGTGGGGAAAATTCACAGAAACATGGAGTAGGAGATAGCAAAGAAAAGGTGAAGAATAAGATGCCTGTGACATTAGTGAGATCAGCGGGAAATCTAAGGAGGCATATGGATTTATGGTTTGGGCTAATTTTTACAGTGTTTTGATAAGCACAACAACTTTCTGTAAAGTAAGTTTTACAGTCGTGGGAGCCACATTTCATCTTCTAATTAAAAATGAATGTTTCTTTAGATCACAGGGAGGCTTTTCTAGTGGAAAAAAACATTCCAGACCAGAATATTTATCTGTGATTTCTACTTGGAAATTTTCTTTCTTCCAATATTTAGTGTTTATTTAGATGGTCTTAAAGGTCTTTTCCAACCTAGTTGGTTCTATGATTCTAAATATTTTGAAGTACTTCTGCCTGTGTCAGGATCACATTCTTTTTCCTCACCCTTAATTTGGCTCTCTTTTCAGAAAATTTGGCTGTATGTGTGCATGGGGGGCAAACAGAGCTGAGCTGTTGGGGGGTGAAGGGGATTTACTAGCTGGTCAAGCCACCGCGGCACCATGGAACATGTCAGCCTCGACTGCAGTAATAGGAAGTGGTGGTGGTGGTGGAGAATTGCTGCTCCCCATAGCCCTCCAGACATATTCATACTTGATTGAATGCAGGTGTAATTGGAAGCCAAAATGTCCTTAGTCCTACGCTCTGTAGATATACTAACTCTGAGTAACACCTCAGGGAAGTCCCTTTACCTGTCTTTCTCAACTTCTTCATCTGCAATAGTAGTGTTTATAGTTGGTGAAGTTAGTGAACTAATTCCTCTCAAACTCTTTGAAGACAGGAGTTTTGCAGACCAGCTTATTTTCACTTGCATGATCCAGTGCATAATTGCAGCTTATCCCTCATTGCAGATTGCTTTACCTTGGGTAGAAGTTTCAGAAACATAACCGATCTAGCAGCTGCAAGCTGATTTTGAAAGGGTCAGGGCCTCATGGAAAGCCTGTGGAGTTGCAGCTGGCCTGAAGCTGTGCTGGAAATGGTGTCTTCCCTATCGGATTAAGCTAATTCAGAAAAATTAGGCTTTATTCTGGAAAAAGAGTGCCTTCAAGGACGTTTTGATGCAAGTATATCAGGTTAATTGTTGTTAATTAGCTATTCCCATAACTGTTCAGAGGAAACGAGGCCTAAATCACTTAGTCCCTTTTGAAAATGAGAATGTTGCCTTTAAGTACCCAGTACTTACAGGGTGTGACTATTCACACAGCGTTGTTTTTGCTCATGGACTTCACCTGGAGTTCTGGAAAGGGGAGAATTTGCAAACAGAAAATAAAAACCACCATGATATTTTTACCCATGTTGTTGTTTGCATACAAATGTAGTGAGTGTTTTAGACAACCTACATTACCTGTGTGTTGTGCACAAATGAAAATGTGGGCTGCTCCTCCTGCTTTGCCAAGAAATGCTGAGCTGGGAGGACCATGACCATGGTCAAAGCAAACCATAAGGTCAGGATTCAGACAGAGACT